GGGGGGGGGGGGGAGAGCACTGGATCGTGAAAAACTTTGTTACTGTAACGCGACGTCTGAGAATTCACCACCTGGTCACTTCCCGCGGTGTCAGCGCGCGCCCTCCTTTTTACAAATCCTTTTCAAGGATTGGTCATTCCTGGGGGGGGGGCAGTGGGCAATCATTTAGAAGTAATACTCCGTGTGATCGGAACTCTCGAAGAATCAATAACTAGAAATAGAACAGTTTTTTATAAGATTGAACTAAAAAACTGAACAAATTTTTCACACCAAAAAATTAACGAATTGATGTTTAAATTATTTTCTTAAATCCTTCACAACTCACTTGATTTTTAAACGGATTTTCCAATTGTATTTCTCTTATAGAAAAGGGAATTAATATTGAGACAAGAAGATGGAATTGGATAGTTGGGGATTTAAAGAATGATATTCATCCAATAATTTTCATTTTCATCAATGCCGAAGTATTTAAAAAATGATTGGAAAAATGTCTGGGGTGTTTCCTATACCCCACTTGAGAATGAGAGGGTTAATTCTCTAATGCCAATAAACCACGAGACGCTATGGGTGTCGTGCCTTATCGACATTGGAGAGTTAAAGAGAATCACAATTTTCCCAGTCACAACAAAATTGCACCAAAAATCAACTAAACTAAAAATTCAAAACCCACGAGTGAGAGTGAAAAACAAATGACCCAAAATAAAACCTTGAATGACACAATGTAAAATCTAAAAACCGGTTTCCCCATAAATACAAAATAAACATTCTACAAAAGCCAGAGTTTTTCAGAGAGCAGCCGGAGGGACGTGTAACTGATGTCGACGGTTCGCGGCAGAGTGCGAGTTGTTCTTTGATGTGCCTCAATACAGCACACTGTATTCCCAGTCCACCGCGATTGGTTTTCACTGCCCCCCCCCCCCCCCCCCCCCCCCCCCCCCCCCCCCCCCCCCCCCCCCCCCCCCCCCCCCCCCCCCCCCCCCCCCCCCCCCCCCCCCCCCCCC